TTGCCCCAGGCTAGAGTGCTAGGGCATCACCACAGCTCACTGAAAACCTCAAACTTCTGGGCTCAAGCATTTCACCTGCCTCAGCCTCCCAGAGTGTGTGGATTACAGGCTCTGAGCCATTGCACTCAGCCTATTATGCTTTTTTTTTTTTTGAGACAGTCTCATTATGTTGTCCTTCAGCAGAATGCCATGGCATCACAGCTCACAGCAACCTCCAGCTCTTGGGTTTAAGTGATTCTCTTGCCTCAGCCTCCCGAGTAGCTGGGACCACAGGCGCCCGCCACAACACCTGGCTACAAACATATCTATATTTTTAAATTGTTTATCTAGTTCCCCAACATTCATTAAGAACCATTACATTTTCATTTGTTCATGTCCTTGTTTTTCTTCTACTTTGTCTACACATTCTAACCATTTTTATAGTTTTCCTTCTGTTGTCCTTCTATTTTAAAAAAAAGTACTCAACTTCTCACCACCTTCTCATTTTTCTCTGTGTATAAACTTTCATGTGTTAATCTTCTAAAATTGTAATACAACATTAGCCTCATCTAAGCTGAATATCATGATTTAATCTAAAAAATAGAAAATGAGACGTGTTTTAGATGTAAAACATTAAGGGTCTGGACTCAAAATGTGTTGAGTAAGGGTCTGGACTCAAAATGTGTTATAAAGTACTGGACAGAAAAATTTTACATCACTAGAGATTCTTTCAATTGTGAGATAATATCTGATATCAGATCTGCATTGCTACCTTTCCAATTTAATTTGCGGATATATTTGATGTGACTATATGCTTTTTCTTCTCATCATTCCTTGCAAGGCTCAGAGATTCATGTATCCTTTTAATTGTCTGATACTCGGTATATATCATAATCTGTAAATACTCAACAAATAAAGCTCATAGTAAATGACTGTTTATGCCTCAAGCAAATTCTAATTTCATAAAACTCTAGTTATTCCCTTCCTCTTGCTTCAAATTGATAACTTTCCAAGAGACCTAGACTTGCTGTAATAGCTGTCAGCCAGGCTTCTGGAAACACCAATGCATCCCACGACATCCCAAAAGACCCCGTGTGTAAGTCTTAAACTCCTAACTATAACTCCTAGCATATAGGATGAGTAATCTTGGCATAGGTACAAACATTTAATTTACAAAGAATAAATGGCATTTCTGGATTCCTTTTAAGAGTTCCATTTACTATTTTTGTTTTTAGAGGTGGGGGATCTCACTGTGTTATCTAGACTGGAGTATAGTAGCATCATTATAGCTCATTGAAGCTTTTAACTCCTGGGCTTAAGGGATCCTCAGATTCCTGAGTAGCTAGGACCTCAGGCATGTGTCACCATGCCTGGGTAATTTTTTAAATTTTTCTTTCAGAGATGGGGTCTTGTTGTGATGCTCATGCAAAGTGCAGTAGTGCAACTATAGCTCACTGTAACCTCAAACTCTTGGGCTCCAGCGATCCTCCTGCTTTAGCCTCCCAAGTAGCTGGGACTATGGGTGTGAGCAACAGTGTCCACCTAGTTCCATTTACTCTGGAAATGTATTCTGAAGAAATTCCTACAATTAAAATTCCCTCATTTCTGATGAAAATCTCAGTACTACTTTGTTTTTTTGGGTTTTTTTTTGTTTGTTTTTTTGAGACGGAGCCTCAAGCTATCCCCCTGGGTAGAGTGCCATGGCATCACGCTCACAGCAACCTCCAACTCCTAGGCTCAAACGAGTCTCCTGCCTCAGCCTCCCAAGTAGCTGGGACTACAGGCGCCTGCCACAACGCCTGGCCATTTTTTTTTTTTTTTTGGTTGCAGCCATCATTGTTGTTTGGCGGGCCCGGGCTGGGGATTCGAACCTGCCACCTTAGGTGTATGTGGCTGACGCCTTAGCCGCTTGAGCCACAGGCGCCAAGCCCTCAGTACTACTTTGTACTTTATCTTCTCCAGGAAAGCCCAGACAGGGACACCCCTCCTCTCCAGAGTGTACTATCTTAAATCTTGATCCTAAACGCAAGCAAGATAGGCCTACTCCCACACCAATCTGCAATGGGTGACTGATTCTTCCTACAATATTTCACTATACTTAATATGTGTAGCATTTGAAAAGAGGAGTGTTAAAGAGACTGTCTTTAATGTTTCTTTCCCACCAATCTTACAAAAACTGTCAGGGTCAATTAACTCAACTTAGTGGTTGGAAGTAGAAGACAGGTTAAAGGCTTTCACATTTCTCCTTTCCTACCCTGGCAAAAAGAAATTTGAGACCACTACAAGTAAGATAAAATTGTAAACATTCTTTTTTTTTTTAATTAAGAAAGCATGCAAAAAAACAACAACAACTTGTGAGACCATACACCCCCTTCCCAGCCTGCACCAATGCAAAGCATTATGGGTGGTACGTGTATAAAGGACTCACCAAACCAGAAACATGAGGAAAGGTGGGTTGAGGAGAGGAAGGCTGGGATGGGTGGATCTTTACCAAATAACTGCTTCTTTTATCTCTCCTCCACTTTCTCCCTTATTTCCTCATATAGGCAGTGAGCTCCTGCAATTTTGCACACATCACCCAATACAACAACAATGACTATAATCCATGTCCAGCAATGCTAGACCAACAAGGAAAAGTAGTATTCTTTCCATCTCATGAAGGGGAGGGGAAACTAAGGCCCAAAGGGAGTCAGGTTTGTCCTGGGCCATGTAGCATAACTGAGCTTGGTGGAGCTGAAATCCCAAGAGGCTTGTTGGCCAATCTCCTGTCTTAGCCAACTTTAGTTACTCTGGCTGCCTGCCAGAGTTCTTCATGAGACTAGTTTCTAGAAGACACAGATGAACAGGGGCATTTGCATGTATGAGTCAGTCTACCTTTGCACATCCTGTATGGGTCTGAATAGGAAAGAGGTTTAGAAAAAAGGTGTAAAATCTGCAAAGGGGAAATCTTGGGAAGAACTGACAAGAAGTCATGTGCAGGACACACCTTTAATGGAAGGAGTAGGGAAGAGATGCCTAAAGCAGGGACACTGAGCAAAGGCATTTCTCTAAGAGAAATTCTCCTTTCTCCAATGGGAAATATTATACCACACACATTAATCCCATTAAGTGCCCTCCAACATCATGGGAGATTCAAGCCACTTGCACCCCCATTTCTTTTATACAAAGGCTTCAAAGAAATAAAGTGCTTTTTAGTTAACTGCCCTATCTTGCTCCTTTCCTTCAGCCTCACTGGACTTCTTCAACAACCTTTCTTATATATAACCCCCTTCCCAGAAAGGAGAGGGGTGGTGAAAAGAAAAAGCAGAACAGAAAGCCAAATCTCTTAGAAATCATGGGTAAACAAAAGAATATAAGCAAAAAGCAGAAACCATAGAGAGTGTGGCCTTATCCATTCCACACATTTTGCCCTGTAGCTTTCAGAAAGTGAAAATTTAGTGAAATAAAAACAACAGCAAAATTTTTCTTCCCTCTTATAACTAAAATTCAACTTCTAACCTTAAATATACACTAAATACTTTGCAGCAGTAAATCATGGCCACCCCGTTAAAGGAGGCAAGTTATCCCTCTCTGTTTCTAGGAGTCCCTCTTGGCCCTCAGAGGACTCCTGCCTCTAGATTATTTACTCCCCTCTACCAATTTCCTTCACCCCTCAAAAGCCTCTTGCAAAAAGCCTCAGCCCCAATTATCTGGATTCCAAGAGCTACATAGCTAAACAACTGACATATTCACTACCCATTTTTATGCCAGCTCCTTTTTCCTCTCCTCATCCTTCTACCACCAATACAAAGGGTCTGATCTGCTAGGATGGTGACAAAGAGATGCCTGTGACAAACTAGGGCATAGATTCCTATGACAAAGTGATAATGGGTTCCTTTTTCTTTCTTGAGAACCTCAGAGAATGCAGGAAGAAATTAGATAGGGTGGAAGATTTGAGCCAACAACTAAAGGAGGACAAACTAATATTTGTTGAATGGGAAAAGGGGATGGGAGGATAATTTGTAAATGCAAATAAGAGCCACAGTTATTTTCAGAGAAAATTATTTTTTAAAGGCCAAAATGGTAAAGTTGAAATCATGTCCAAGAGGCTGAATCTAGGTTGTACAGTTGTCCTCATGGCTTACCACAGAAGCAGAGTTTGGGCTAAGACCAATCCTATCTCCTCAGAGAATAGGCAGGGATAAGCCAATGGATGCTTATATGACATGGCAGTCTACACCCAAGTTCACAATGATTTATATTCCATCACTTCTTTGCTGTATCCTATTCAAGCCAACTCTGGTCTCTAATGCCATTTGGATTTTACTGTCATCCTCCTGCACCATCATCATTCTTACCCTCAATGGGAAATGAGGGTTGGCAGAAGTAAGGACTAACGGCATAAAGGGACAAAGGAGAGCTCAAAAGACAGAATTAGCACCATTTGGTAAAACCTGCAAATTCAGGCTGCCAAGCAGTGTTTTAGACCCTTCCCACTGGATAATGTGGCCTCTTCAGTCCTGGTCTGAAACCGACAGAAATAGGAAGCAATTTAGGGCCAAAAGGTGGGATTAGCATTGAGTTTCTTAGAGAGAAAGGTAAATTGGAGCTTGACACCTTTCTCAGTGGCTATCATGGCTTTATCTTCAAGCCTAATGAATTTAAGTTAGCAAGGGGTAGACATGGTCCATTGGTGTAGGGATAGGGGGCTGGGGACAGTATATAACGGATAATAATAATAATATAATATAATAAGAATAATAATAAAAGAATCAGGAAAAAACAGGCAGGAAGAGAGGAGAATAAGACAGGAAAGAAGGGGTTATCTTCGGCAGCATCTTGCGGTGGCTTCTCTGACAGAGAAAGAACAAAAAGAAGATATATATCTATATACAGGCAGGGGGAAGGGATGGGCTGGGGCTGCTCTTTCCCCACTGCCAGACTTCACCACTCGGCCCTGGGCTGAGGTCCATACTCTGCGACGCACTAAGTGATCAGGTCCCAATCAAAGTCGTCAGGGATCTCTTCATTGGTACCAGGAGGTGGGACCGGTGGCCGAGGGACCATATGGTGTGCTGTTGGGAAGAAAGAAAGAGAGTAAAAGGAGAGTGTATGGAAACTACTTTGTATCTAGCCCCAAATAATACCCTGAAGGTTTTGTAAAGCTATTTGGCTCATCATCTGGAGTTATGTCTGTTGCAGACCAGTCAGTGAGGTCTCAGGAAATAAACTAGAGCAAACTAGGTCACACGGCAATGAAATATTTCACTGCCATTAAAAATTAAACTTATGGGCTCGGCGCCTATAGCTCAACCGGCTAAGG